GCAGCTGGGGGATGGTGGGGCAGTGTTGGAGGGTGGAGATGATGGTGGGGCAGTGTTGGAGGGTGGAGGTGGTGGTGGGGCAGTGTTGGAGGGTGGAGGTGGTGGTGGGGCAGTGTTGGAGGGTGGTGGTGGGGCAGTGTTGGAGGGTGGAGGTGGTGGTGGGGCAGTGTTGGAGGGTGGAGGTGGTGGTGGGGCAGTGTTGGAGGGTGGCGGTGATGGTGGGGCAGTGTTGGAGGGTGGAGGTGGTGGTGGGGCAGTGTTGGAGGGTGGAGGTGATGGTGGGCAGTGTTGGAGGGTGGAGGTGGTGGTGGGGCAGTGTTGGAGGGTGGAGGTAGTGGTGGGGCAGTGTTGGAGGGTGGAGGTGGTGGTGGGGCAGTGTTGGAGGGTGGCGGTGATGGTGGGGCAGTGTTGGAGGGTGGAGGTGGTGGTGGGGCAGTGTTGGAGGGTGGCGGTGATGGTGGGGCAGTGTTGGAGGGTGGCGGTGATGGTGGGGCAGTGTTGGAGGGTGGAGGTGGTGGTGGGGCAGTGTTGGAGGGTGGAGGTGGTGGTGGGGCAGTGTTGGAGGGTGGAGGTGATGGTGGGGCAGTGTTGGAGGGTGGAGGTGGTGGTGGGGCAGTGTTGGAGGGTGGAGGTGGTGGTGGGGCAGTGTTGGAGGGTGGAGATGATGGTGGGGCAGTGTTGGAGGGTGGAGGTGGTGGTGGGGCAGTGTTGGAGGGTGGAGGTGGTGGTGGGGCAGTGTTGGAGGGTGGAGGTGGTGGTGGGGCAGTGTTGGAGGGTGGCGGTGATGGTGGGGCAGTGTTGGAGGGTGGAGGTGATGGTGGGGCAGTGTTGGAGGGTGGAGGTGGTGGTGGGGCAGTGTTGGAGGGTGGAGGTGGTGGTGGGGCAGTGTTGGAGGGTGGAGGTGGTGGTGGGGCAGTGTTGGAGGGTGGAGGTGGTGGTGGGGCAGTGTTGGAGGGTGGCGGTGATGGTGGGGCAGTGTTGGAGGGTGGAGGTGATGGTGGGACAGTGTTGGAGGGTGGAGGTGATGGCGGGTTAGGATGGTGGGGCAGTGTTGGAGGGTGGAGGTGATGGCGGGTTAGGATGGTGGGGCAGTGTTGGAGGCTGGAGGTAATGACTAAAACATCACACTTGCTCTTTAAAATCGAAATTAAAATTAGTTTATTGAGGTAAACTACACACAAAGGGATGAGGTAGCCCAAGCGAGCCTCACATCGTTCAGTACAACGTGTTCATACATATATAGACACACACCACAAACAATAAACATATTACCGAACATTCTGAGAGATAAACTTGTTCTTGGTCTGATAAGAACCATCTCATTTTTACTGGCAGAAGGTCCAGCATCCTCTTAATTTTGTCGGTCTGTCACATCAGCTTTACAGTGACGATTCTGTTGAATAAGTCTAATAGTACGAGTATATATTATTGTTCAATATGAAGATCATTATAATTTTACGTTAAACTAAGCACGTCAATAACTTGATGGCGTCTCATTAAGAATGTGACGCCCTGACCTCACATTGTACATATAAACACCAAGAATTATTTTCCCGTGTAACATCTAATAAAGCATTATTGGTTTCGTAATGTTATTGGGTATAAAGTATTGAACATGTATCCTACACAATCACCCTTTTGTAATTAAATAATATCATAATATAATTGGATGGATTTGTGTACTATCAAGAATCAGAATTTAATAAATCCGCACATTAATTTTTATCCATTGTAAGAAAAATATAAGTCGCGATAAAAACGGTTAATGGTTCAAATTTGGTGGGAAAATTGAGCGGGGCAGAAGTGGCGGGAACCTTCACCGGTTAATTGCGGCCAGCCAGTTAGCAGTCGGCAGGAAATCTCTTTTGAAAGATAAATTATGATTAACCTTTTTTTATGGATGGTGATGGAAGGATGTTTAAACTACAGTAATTGGTAATTTTATTGGGATCAAAATAATGCAGGGTGGCCATGATGACAAGTAACTGACTACAATTTAGGGCTTGCCATTTATTCTGAGTACAGTTGTTGATTGAGATTACTTACGTTAGTGGATTCTGTGATATATCTACTTACCTTGTGCCCTACCCTCCCCCCCCCTCCATCAGCGGGGTCTTTTTCTGCAGTTGTGACAACTATTTTAATGTCTTCCGACACTATTGCTACCAAATCTGTTAATTTGCTTTTTCTATCTATGAAGTGATTTTATTGCATTTTGTATGTAATTTCCGTCTTGATATTTTCATATTTATCATTAAACATGTAATTTTCTGTGGCTCATTGAAGACCTAATTTTCATCAATTTGGAAGCTTGCCGTGTCCTCTATATTTTCTACTCTCATCAAAATTCAAGTATGATATGCAAAGAATGATACGGTACTATAGTCTGTGTCCTTGTAAATGTGTGATATGAGGATGATAGTACCTGAGCAAGCACAGTACCCTGGGGGACTGATCTCTTCACGGTGGGTGATCCTGATTTTACTTTGTTAACTATTACTCTTTTGAGCTTTTGTTTGTTAGCAAATTTAAAAGTGGATCTTTCTATTTTGCCAGTAATTCCTTCTTGGTACATTTTGTGTGCAACCACACCATACCCTACCTTGTGTTGGGTCCGGGTATGAAAGGCGCAGTCTCAGGTCTTCCTAGTCTTCCTGGTCTAAGATTGCGCCCGAGGGATAGACAGACATATTCTTCTTTTATTCTGTAATGTTATTTGTCTTTATAATAGCTAAAATTTTATTAAACAGTATCTTTTATAATCTTTTTTTAATATTTTGAGATTAATTTGTAAAGATAATCATTCCAATAATAACTAACAATTGAATTTATAGAATAATATTCGTATAAACTATTCCTCCCATTTTTGTTTGTAATTCCTTGAGAGGCTTGTAATAATTGGGCGTGTATTGCAGGCCTCAAGTACCTGCACTCAGCGAGGATAATTCACAGAGACATCAAGCCTGGGAACCTGCTCGTCAACTCTAACTGTGTTTTAAAGGTGAGCTGGGAACACACAGGTGCTCGCTAGGCTAGCATTGCTTTGGCTTGGCAGGTATATGGTGCACTAAATTGGGTTTGGATAGGCAGGTGTATGATAGGGTAGGATGGTTTTGGCTAGGCATGGGTACGGTAGACTAGGCTGGGTTTAGCTGGGTATGTGTTCTGTAGGTTAAACTACTATAAGACAAGTGTAGGATAGATGAGAGATAATTATATATTGGATATGCTAACTAGTACAGTATTAGACAAGTCTAGGATAAACATAGTAGATAATTATAACATAGGCTAGTATCAGACAAAATATGTATTATTGACATCAAAAGTAACTGCTGTTTCTCATTATTTACATTTTGTGGTTAATAGAACAGATATGTATTTTCATGTTATTCCTTTAATTTAGTTAATTCACAGTAATAATTGTCGCAGTCGAAATCATAGGAAATAAAAAAGAAGGAAATATCACTAATGAAATGTACTCTATTTCCTCCTCATTCAGCCTGTTCTCGGGGAGGAAATATGTTCACGGAAATGGATTGAGAATGTCTGCATAAGTGGTGCTATTATCGATTCTTTATCCATGATTAGGTTAGGTTAAGGTTATTTTAGGTTGATTTGATAAGGTTTCAATATGTTTGGTTAATATTGTATATTATTGATGATAATGTGAAATGTGGAATTTGAAAACTATTTCAGTGTACCCGAGAACTCCTTTTACATAAAACCAAATTCTTCTAAGAAAATATTTTCAGCATACACCGCTTATATTTTAAACCAACAATTTATAATACAATAGTGATAATTTGAGAATAATCTGTTTAGGACATAGACTTACTTGCCAGTTTACATGTAGACTATTACTGGAACAGTAACATGCTTTCAGACAATCACAAATATCTAGATAACTACCCAGGTGGTTTGAGGTGTAAGGGATTGGTTTCTCATTATAGTGGGTTTGGTCTGAGAACGGGCTCCCACATTCCCTGCACTCAACTGGTATACATTCCAGCACTAATACTTGCATCATAAATCAAATGGTATTATCATTATCTGGTTATTTGATAGATGTTTAGTTAAGAGATTGGCCGCAACAGAGGGTAGTTTGTAAGCATTCAGATGAGATGACAGTGCGTGTCCCCCTTTTGGACTCCGACCATGGCTTATGATCACTGACTACTGTTATGTCTAGCCGTGCCCATGGCTTGAAGGCGTGTGACCACTGGCCACAGTTATGTCTAGCCGTACCCATGGCTTGAAGACGTGTGACCACTGGCCACAGTTATGTCTAGCCGTACCCATGGCTTGAAGACGTGTGACCACTGGCCACAGTTATGTCTAGCCATACCCATGGCTTGAAGGCGTGTGACCACTGGCCACAGTTATGTCTAGCCGTACCCATGGCTTGAAGACGTGTGACCACTGGCCACAGTTATGTCTAGCCATACCCATGGCTTGAAGACGTGTGACCACTGGCCACAGTTATGTCTAGCCGTACCCATGGCTTGAAGGCGTGTGACCACTGGCCACAGTTATGTCTAGCCGTACCCATGGCTTGAAGACGTGTGACCACTGACCACAGTTATGTCTAGCCATACCCATGGCTTGAAGACGTGTGACCACTGGCCACAGTTATGTCTAGCCGTACATATGGCTTGAAGGCTTGTGACCACTGGCCACAGTTATGTCTAGCCGTACCCATGGCTTGAAGGCTTGTGACCACTGACCAGTTATGTCTAGCCGTGCCCATGGCTTGAAGACGTGTGACCACTGGCCACAGTTATGTCTAGCCGTACCCATGGCTTGAAGGCTTGTGACCACTGACCAGTTATGTCTAGCCGTACCCATGGCTTGAAGACGTGTGACCACTGGCCACAGTTATGTCTAGCCGTACATATGGCTTGAAGGCTTGTGACCACTGGCCACAGTTATGTCTAGCCGTACCCATGGCTTGAAGGCGTGTGACCACTGACCAGTTATGTCTAGCCGTGCCCATGGCTTGAAGGCTTGTGACCACTGACCATAGTTATGTCTAGCCGTAAACACAAAAATGGGCTCTACTCCTACTGTGGATGAAATGTGCAAAATATGAACTGCTGTGCTTCTAAAAAAGACAATGTTTTGTACAATGTGGAATACTAAATGTAACCTTGCCTAACATTTCTTAGGCCTAAGTGAGGAATCTTAGGTGAACATATACAGTCTTAAGTCTAATTTAGTACATATTTGTACTAATATGTACAGTACAATGTTAGCCTCACCCAGGTTTGCAAGGGGAATGTTCTTGAGTACTGGACAGATATAGACTTGTCGAGGTTGGACTAATTTAAATGCTTTTAAGAAATATTAACATTTAAGATTCCATTTCTTTGGCCCTTCGCAACATTATTAGTACAAAGACATTTTGGGGTGTAACAGTTCATATTTTGTACTTCCGTTGATAGTACTTATAGGTGCTGTAATTCTTGGATGGCAGGTTGAGATTTGTTGGTCAACTTACAAGTACAGTACTGTACCTGTAATGTCTGGTGCATGGTGTGATATGTTGGTCATTTGGTGAAGCCTGCTCGTGCCCAGCCTTTGGTTCCATCCCATCATCCTGCTCCAGAGATTTCCTCATTGATGTATCATGATGTTGTGATTTCATAGTGTGCCTACCCTTGACTTTTGATGAGTTATGAAGGCTCTCATACTATCATCCTGGGTAGCTAATTCTTGTTGCGTTTGGTAATACTTCCAAAAAATTATTACAGAAAACTACATATATTTAAAATCAAGAAAATTTATTCAATTAGCAGCAACAAAATTATTTCAATTAATTACTGAAATATCGCAGTAATGATATTTCATTATATAAATTGATCAGTTAATGGCTAGTTAAATAAAATGTAGATATGACAGAGCCCAATAGGCTCAGGAATCTGTACTCCAGTTGATTGACAGTTGAGAGGCGGGACCAAAGAGACAAAGCTCAACCCCCGCAAGCACAAATAGGTGAGTACACTTTCTAACTTCAGAATTGCTTTTAAATACATGGATGGAGAAATACTAAAGAAATTGTTCACGACTTTTGTTAAACCAAAGCTGGAATATGCAGCGGTTGTATGGTGCCCATATCTTAAGAAGCACATCAACAAACTGGAAAAAGTGCAAAGACATGCTTCTAAGTGGCTCCCAGAACTGAATGGCAAGAGCTACGAGGAGAGGTTAGAGGCATTAAATATGCAAAAACTAGAAGATAGAAGAAACTAGAAGATAGAAGATAGAAGAAAAAGAGATGATATGATCACTACACACAAAATATTATCAGGAAACGCTAAAATTGATAGGGAAGAATTCCTGAGACCCGAAACTTCAAGAACAAGAGGTCATAGATTTAAACTCACGAAACAAAGCTGCCGGAGAAATATAAGAAAATTCACTTTTGTAAACAGAGTGTTAGACGGTTGGAACAAGTTAGATGAGAAGGTGGTAGGGGACAAAACCGTCAGTAATTTCAAAGTGTTATATGACAAAGAGTGCTGGGAAGACGGGACATCATGAACATGGCTCTCATCCTGTAACTACACTTAGATAATTACACTTAGTGTTTCAGTGGGTTAAGGTAGAATATCATGTACAGTATTGTTTCTCTTTAGTTCCCATTTTGTTTGAAAACTTTGTTAGCTTGCTGTATGCAATAAACAAATCATTTGTAAGTTGTTTGCCCCAAATTATATTTATGAAACATTTTTTTGAGGAAAGTGTTTTATATTAATATTAAAGTTGCATAATTCATATCTCCAGTCTGCCCTTTGGCAAATAAAAAGTATTTTTCTACAGTTATACAAGAATTGACTGTATTGGTTTATTTGAACTACAGTAGATGGTTGCTTTTAACGATCTTTATTCCACTTACAGTATTTTGAGTAGTCATTAGTTCAGAACTTGGGATAGTGCTTTGTTTTTCTTATGTATATATATATATATTGTAATGAGTTTCACAATACCTAATTAGTTCAGATTATATGCCTAATCTTGCCCATTTGCCTATTGTATTCCTATTTACCTAATCTTACCTACTGTGTGCCTATACTTTACCTTTATTTGTTTTAGATCTGTGATTTTGGCCTTGCTCGAGTAGAGGAGCCTGACGAGACCAAACACATGACACAAGAGGTGGTTACGCAGTACTACAGAGCCCCCGAGTTACTTATGGGTGCCCGCCACTACACTCAAGCTGTCGATGTCTGGTCAGTAGGCTGCATCTTTGGAGAGCTCTTGGGTCGACGTATACTCTTCCAAGCACAGAGTCCCGTTCAGCAGGTGCGTAGAACAAGCAGTGATCTCATAGCTCAGTCTGATAACTTTGTTTTCAAGATGTGAAAATTAGTTATTTAGGATGGGAAAAATACCTATTAGTTTTTAATAAAAACTAGAAATATATTTGTCAGCAGTAAAACATTGCAGTTAATTGTGCATTATGCAGCTGTTTAAAAGTACCCATATTGAGGTGTACATGACTAAAAAAAAAACAGCTTCAAGGAGCCAAAAATTGGTATTTCATTACAGGAATGTAATGAAAAACCAATTTTTGGCTCCTTGAAGCTACCGTCTCCATTGTAGGTGCCATCAATCATGGAGTTCTATGGTCTACAAGGGGGCCAAGAGCCAGAACCTGCTCCCCCCTCCCATCCTTCACAGAGGTGAAGGGAGACGTGGCATTAAGTTATTCATTTATGCCAAGAGGCACCCAAAAAGTCTGCAAGTCAGAACAAAACACAGCTGGCTGCCTCCAAGCAGCTTTGAAAATGGCCATAAAACTCCCCAAACAATGTAAACAAAGATCGAAAATGTCATAAAACTAGCACCTGCTCGTTCGCTCCACAATCCCCCCCTCATTTGGGGGCAGTGGGGGGGGGGCAGGCACTGGCTCTCAAGGTGCTCCACTCTCGGTTCTATGAATGATGTATATAGACCTGACTTCCTGAGGGAGGGAGGGAGGGAGTCAGCAAACCATTACATTCAACATTGGTTTTCTGGGAGTCCCCTTGTGGCTGAGATTACTGGCAGCCACAAGGGAATAAAGAGCAGCATACTTCTGGATATCATGGGCATGAGGGTAGAGACTACAGACTGGCTAGACTTGATGGCACTGTGGATGACTTGAGAAAGATAAGCGTTGGAACAGGGAACCAAGGAAACAGGATCAACTCAGATACAAAACATGATAAACTCCTGACCCACACCCTGTACACATTACACAAGTGTGTGTAAGGAATAAGGGAAAAGAATACCCCCAAAGGAAAAAAAAAATATTGGGGCCAGAGGGACAGTGGAAGACCCGAACCCAGCTACACATCAGAGAACTGACGGTGGAGTGAATGAGCGGCCGCTAGTTTTATGACATTTTCAATCATTTGTTTCCATAGTTTTGAAAGTTTATGGTCGTTTTCAAGGCTGTAGATCTCGGAGGCACCAGATGTAATTTGCTTTGACTTGCAGAGTTTCTGGGTGTCTTTTTCGGTGGTGGTATAAATGAATAACTTAATATAAAAGGCATATCTCCCTGCACCTCTATGTGGGGGGGCCAGGTTCTGGCTCTAGGTCCCCGATAGGTCGTAGAACTCCACGAATAATGGCACCTAGTAGATGACATCTACATTGGAGATTGTAGCTTTAGGCAGCCACAAGTGGCTTCCCCCAGAATAGTTAACAAATGAAGTAGAAAAACTCAACTGGCAATTGGAGTGCCAAGGTAACTCAGATATCAATGTAAATGATGTAGAGGTTAATTAAAGGAGATTACTTTAAAATAATGTTATGTTAACTAGCATAAATAGGTTTATAAAATGACAGTACAGTATATTATTTGATTACAGTACTGTAAACAGTTACACAGAGAAATCACACTAACGTGATATACATCGATAAGAAAATCAACTGGAGCTCTTAGGTGACTGGAACCCGTGACCAGCATACTGTCAGTGGTACAGTGGTAAAGTGGTACAGTGGTAAAATGGTACAGTGGTAGAGGGTGCCGCTGGCAGTATAGTGGTCATGGGTTTGAGTCACCTAAGAGCTCCTGTTGATTTATTCACGGTATACACTATTACCCAAAGATAGTTTTTAAAAGCCCTTTCACTTCTATTAGCTTAGCGTGAAGTCAGGCTTTCTGGATAACTCCTTGATATGTCAGCTGTTTGTGTTAATTTGTGTTTTGTTTTCCAGCTTGAGCGAATAACAGACCTCTTAGGGACACCAAATGTAGAAGATATGAAATATGCTTGTGAAGGCGCAGTATCACACATGCTCCGGCGACCGTCCAAGCCGCCAGCGTTGCCTGCACTTTACACCTTGTCTAACCACGCTACCCACGAGGCCGTCCACTTACTCACTCAGATGCTTGCCTTTGATCCAGTAAGTTAAAATGTTTATTACATGACTGTATTACTTATTTTCAAAAATTGTTAGCTTAATAATAGTTTCAATGCAAGTCATGCAATGCTGCATGTGAATAGCGACTTTATAAAAATACAAAAAATGTGTAATAATTGGACGTCTAAAAGTGGATGTTATAAAGTGGATGTCTTCAAGAGAAAACTGGATAGTTTTCTTCAAGAAGTGCCAGACCAATCAGGCTGTAGTGGATATGTGGACCTGTGGGCCGCCCTAAGCAACAGCAAGTTCTCTCAAGTCAAGTAGACTTGATTTTTACTTAGAGAGTTCTAAGTTGGGAGTAGAACAACTCCCAGAGCTCCATCCAGGTACAATCCAGGTACAATTGTAATCAGATCTTTTGTAATTTTTTATAAATAAAATATTATTATTGTTATTTGAAAAAAGCAAAAGAAATAACAATACCTTTTTCAAAACATTTTATTAGGTATTATTTACTAAATGCATTTTCAGTAAAAGTTTGAAATTTAGAACACTGTAACAAAACTGCTAATGTGGCAATCTTTTATGATGCAAATGTAAGATAAGATGTTTCTACTGCATTAGAAATAGATGTCCTTAGTATGTGGCTTACACATGAGCAACAAAACAGAAACATAGCAAGGTCTGGTTATTTGGAGAATTTAGGAGAGTTGTTAAAGAAAATGAAATATACTCTTAGGAGCGTATAAGAGAATTGCACTGCAAGGCGTTGGTAAACGTGTAAAATGTTGTTATATAGGTCGTTTAAAATGTTGTTATATAGGAATAGGTGTTAAAAAAGTGTACATATCTAGCAGCCTTCTCCATAAAGATGGAAAAAGTCATGTGCACTTCCATTTCTTGATTTTTTTATAAAAGTAATTTTCATTTATTCACAGCAAAAAATAAAAAGAATGAAAGTCATCTTAGCCAGCCTGCATGGCTTGTCAAGGCTGATACACTTGAGTAGATGGAGAATGGTTAAATGTCTATAAAATGAAGTTAAGGCAGTGAAAAAACAAAAAGGGCTCAAACCAAAAAATATATTCCACATTGCAGGGCAAGAGAGACCCAAGTGGAAAGGCAACAAAACACTAAAATAGAGAACAAATACACGGGTAAATGGCCACAGCAGGACAAAATAAGTTTCCAGGATGGCCAACATTTATTTCAATAACCGGGGTTGAAAGAGATGGCAGGTATGAACAGCATAACAACGACATAAAAGATGTGCATGCCAGACAAAAGGACTGAGGTTCAGTGTAAGGCGATTGATTAGAAAGGTGTAGTACATTCTCCTGGTGGTGCACAGATGGAACTAATGAGTGAACCGATTCACAGCTGGGTGGTTGGTCTGTTTCAGGGGTTTGTGGTCCCTATTGTATTTGATTTACGTTGCTGAATGTATGCTTTGGTTTCCCACCTTTCTGGTGGCCTTATCTTGGTTAGGATGATCTAGGCTTCCCTGCTTCTTGCGCCTCTTTAGAGGAGCCCAGGTGTTGGCCTCTGGTCCCCAGTGGGCTTACATTGACTCGCAAGGGCCTGGTGTGGATTGAATTGGGTGGAACCATCCAGGTAGTTATTACCAAGGAGCCAGAAAGGACTTGCCAGAAAGAACTGTTGCATTAATGAAATGATATTTTGTTTCAGGATAAGCGGTTGACAGTGACCGAGGCTCTTGGACACCCATATCTGGATGAAGGTCGGCTTCGGTACCACTCTTGTATGTGTACGTGCTGTGCCCCCACTTCTTGTGGTGGTCGGCAGTATACCCACGATTTTGAACCAACAGCGCCACATGCATTTGATGACACATGGGAAAATGAGGTTTGTAGCATATTTTGCTCTGTTCAAGACTTCTCACCTAATGGCAAGGAGAAAGAAAGATAATCAATAAATATTATTAGAAATTTGTTTTGCTATAGAGGTGCTTTATTTTAAGTATTTAACTTGGCACAAATTAGGTAAATTTTCAGTTTGATTTTCATTTCTGAAGCTTGGAATTGTTCAAGAATGTAACATAACACATATTATGGAAATTATTAGTTGGTAACTTAGTGGATCAATTTACACTTCATTGTAATGGAAAGGTATGAGAACTTAAGTGAAAGACAACATAATGATTGAGGTGCATTAGAAAAGAAATGGGACTTTGATGTTTGATTGAGTACTGATTGTCTGTACTGTACTGTATTACATTTGCTCTCATGAACAGTAGCGCAGGATTTATTCTTGCTGAAATATTGTTTATTCATAAATATTCTCACGTTTAAAATAGCTACACTAGATTTTGTATATTAAGTGTCTTTTTTCAATACTATATATTGTCATTTTGTTTTTACAGTTACGGTCAATGTCACAGGTGAAAGATCGTCTTCATAAGTTCATCATGAGTCATTTGGCACGAGATCGTGTTCCTCTGTGTATCAACCCAATGTCTGCAGCATACAAGAGCTTTGCCAGGTTAGCTTGAGCTTATAATTTGCAATTATAAGCAGGAATTGTCTCTTCAGTAGTTGCTGTAGTTATTCTTGTAAAATTAAAGTAACTGTCTTAGAATGAATCTTAGTAGACATGTCATTCTACTGTGTAGAATTATTTTCTTGAATGCGGAAAATTTTGTATAATTTTACATAAAAGCAATTTCTTGAGATGCACTGGGACTACAGGTATCCTGTAAGCAGTTACTCAGAATCTTACTTTTAACCCATCTCATCCTCTTCCATTTCTCTTTTTTCCGTACCTCTAGTGTCCACCGTTCTTCTTTAATATATGTAGTGTCTTTTACTTTCCTGTCACTCCTCTTACTATTACCAACCTCTCACATGAACTAAAGTTTGTGATGTGCTCTATGGTGGTTATTCCTAGCATTGCTTAAACATAGTATTACATGGCTTGAGAACGGTTGGAGTATACTGTATATCCATATTTAAGAAATCTTGTGGCATATGTAACTTCCGTTTTTTGTTTTTTATAATTTAGTACTCGTCCCACTCTGTTTTAGTATATGCTAACTAATCCAAATTATTGGGACTGGGCTGACAGCAAGCAATGTTTTAGTTTAGATGGCTCAATGGTTTTTAAGTACCTTTTGTTGTTTGCTATTTTTGTAAATATTTTTTATCATATTGATACCTATCACATTCTTTAAGCTTAAGTTATTGGTAACCTATTTAAATTTTAACACCATCATATTTATTTATTGGTTTTCCTTTATACTGGCATAGGTAGTACAGTACATATATTAGTGAGTTCACTTCTGAAATTCTGTAATTATTATTAATTATTCTGATGATATAAGTACTGTATGAACAAACTAAAAGATGGTGTGGAAGGAGGAGAAATTGAATAATTAGTTTTGGAAGTACAGTGCAGTAAGTTAACATTAGAAAATTTCTTTTACATCTTCTCATTTAAATCAGATTTTTTTCCGTGATGTAGACTTGATTTTATATTATAATCTGATGAATGCAGGGTAAAATTTGATTAGTAGATGCACCTAAGACTAGTACAATACAGTGCAGTATTATGGGGGAAAAATGTAAATTTATACTTTCCATTAATTGTATTCATATTTTGCTACAGCCGTCATTGAAGTAATCAGGGATGGTTTGTAAAGTCGATTTTCTTAGGAGAGAAGTTCAATTAAAATAACCCATTTTTATTCATTAACAGTAAGTGTCATTGATAGCATTCACATGTTTCCCACATTAATTAATATATTATGCTATTCTATTGTATATAGACTTACAAGCATTAGTGTCTACATTTATGGGATTTAAGCTCTAGTATTCATTATTTTATAGTTCCTCTAACAATATTTGTTTTCCTTCTGTCCTGGCTATTAATGAAACCCTGCCTGGGTTTCAGTAATAATATTCAATTTATATTTTAACAAATATTTCTTGCTCTTCCTAATAGTCATTTGCATAATATATTTTCACTTAAATATCATTTTCCATTTAATTATGTGGTTCATATTTAATTGTGCTGGAATGAAGGAACCCAATTGTCCACCAGTTAGTGAGCAGAAAGCCACACATTTCTGAGGTACAGGGGGTAGCAGCTTAGGCTGGGGGTGTCTTCTCCCTCCCCCACAAAACACACAAATCTTTGAGAGCAAATGCAAGGATGTACAGCTGTGAAGAATGTGCTCGGGATAACTGTGGAACAACTTAGAAATGATACAGGGGCCTTCTGGGATCTGTGCAAGTCTTGAAGAAAAGAACTGTGTGGATGAAAAGGACGTTAACACTTTAAGGAAAGGAATTAGTGACTTGTTAACATTGCTCAAGGTACATGTGTGAGAACTTCACATATCCAAGTGTGAATGTGGATGGTTTTAATTACTGTATGTATACACTGTGTAGTAATAGGTGTGAGAATATAAATTATTTGTTTAACATTTTAGCATTCTGATAACACTAAAATGAGTTGTCTGTACTTTTGGCGGTAAACATTCTGATGACGTTAAAATACATTATCTATCTTGAAATTATAAAAAATCACTAGACTCTTTAACTATCACTTAAAAAAATGATAAGCTATGCACACATTTTAACACAGTGTGTACATAACTTATCAAGGGACCATCCAGAGATCACCTTGGCCAACTACCTATCACCAAATATGATAATACCGCTGCTTGTGAATATTTTCATTATACTTTGCAAATTACTTAATTTGCCAGAAAAAATATAACACAATTTTTTTTACAGTGATATGGACCAATAATGTGTGTACATTTCTTAATTTTCATTTCTTAATTTTTTTATGTTAAAAGATATGAGGAATGTTGAAGTTTTCATAAAAACTTGAATATTCAGTACCATCATACATAATTTATTATTTACACACATTTTGAACTGCATCTGTACTCTGGCAAATTAATTTAGTTTTGATATAAAATTTATATTTATAACCAAACACTGATATGCCTGGGTCGTTTACAGTTGCGAATGCACTTATGGGTCGAAATGTCAAAGTATTAATAAACTGGTGGGTGAAATTAGTATGAGGATCAAGAAGTAGGAGAGTAAATGCATAATGGAATCAGAGGAATGTTGTGTACCTACGGGAAAAATCTTGAGACCATGGAATGGGATCAAACCTACGTCCCTGGAGAGTAAATGGTATGAGTTGAATGACAGAGCTGGGATGGGGCCTGACAGTAAATTCAGGGGGTATGATGTGTGTCTGAGGAGATGAAATTAGCCTCAGACCAAAGAGCTTGGACAATAAAATTAAGATATTTATCATAAATACATTCTTTAAGGTACAAGGTTGTACACAAGTATATTTGGCACCATGTTAATGGTGAAAGGTGAAAAGTGTCTTTATTATTTATCTACTTTTTGAAAGAAGCATGTGAATACATGTGTACAGTATATCATTGATAACTGTAAGAGGATTCTCTGGAGAAATATCTTGCCACATGTGTATTATGTGTACAGTATTGGGAAGTGGATGCTGCTGCTTTTCAAAGATGTTAGAGGTGGCCAATGAGTACACAAGGAAGGTAGGCATGGGACGAATGCAAATAATGCCTGATTAAAAATACAAAACAAATGTGTGGGGCTGCACTAGAAGATTAAGATGAAGTTGTTGGTGAGATGGGAAAGTAGAAAACATATGTATTGACATGAAGGAAATGCATTGTGTGGATGCAAAATTAAGAGAAAGGAAAAGCAAGAAAAGGAATATGAGGGTGCAAAAGTATGTGAAAGGACTAGTGCAGTAAACAAAATTGAACGATTGAATAGTATGGAAGGAAATGCCCTAAGTGGAAGTTTATTACATTTTGTTTTTTAAGGCATACAGAGGTGTGAGCAGCAAAGACAGTTGTAAGGTGAGTGGGAATATAATGATGAGCTTGGGAAAGTGTTAACTGTAAAAATTTAATTAGAAGTACTGTACATACTGTGGAAAGAGAGAACTCAGAGTTTGATGGGTTGAATTAATTAAATCATTATTACAAATTTCTAACATTCTCCCTTTACATATAAGAGCATTCCAAGGAATTTTATTCTTTGGGATAAGCATACGAGGATTCTACGTATACAAGTTACAGTACTTAACCTTCCACTTCATGCCTTCTCTACACATAAGGGACTTAACTGGCCAACCCCTCAGTGTTCAAGAGAGAGAACTTGATGAAAACATCCAAAGGTTACCTGATCAACCAGGCTGTGATTCATACGTCAGGCTGCTCGCAGCCTGACGTATGATCTCATCGCCGCGATCCGCTCCGAGGACATTATCAGGTGGGGAGTTTGACTGGGGCGGTACATCTGTCAAATGATAACGCAGGTGTCCTAAGGCCAGCTCCATGTGGACAGAAACCTCGCGTAGAGCAAAAGGGCAAATGCTGGCTTGATCCTGATTTTCAGTACGAATACGGACTGCGAAAGCAAGGCCTATCGATCTTTTTGACTTTAGGAGTTTTAAGCAAGAGGTGTCAGAAAAGTTACCAGTAGACTCGTAACTTTTCTGGTAACTTTTCTGACACCTCTTGCTTAAAACTCCTAAAGTCAAAAGGATCGATAGGCCTTGCTTTCGCAGTCCGTATTAGTACTGAAAATCAGGATCAAGCCAGCATTTGCCCTTTTGCTCTACGTGAGGTTACTGGTAAAAGTTTGGATAGGACACATAGGGTCATGGTCAGAGATGATATATCAGGCTGGAGAGGAGCTGTTGAAGGCTATTGAAGAGGGATGCCTCATGGCAGTATCAAAATGCAAAGGGCAAAAATGTTAATGCATTTCAGATACCAGCAAAAGTCAGATATCTGCCGAGTGTCGAGATTAACCCAGGAATGTGCTAGATGGTGCTGTGCTAGACATGGTGTGCATCTATTTACTAATGCCCAAGAAGGAAAGGCACTCAAGATGTTTTCCTGTATGGTAGATGATCATCAAAACCATTTGGGAATGAGATGTGTAAAAAAGCATATTCTGTGACTGGTAAGTCACTTTAGCTGTGTGAAAGCATCTGCACGGAATTTGAACATTACATAAAACCAAGCTTTGATTTGAGCAGCTTAAGGGCAAATTAATATAGATGTTACAATGTTGAGCAGTAGTAAGCATTGATTAGGTATACACTATGGTCATATGGATTGAATGGATGATGAAAAGAGGAACTATTTAAATATATTAAGGATAGAGGAAGGAGGAGGAGACCAAGTTAACAGTTACAGTGGGTGTGTGAGAAAACAGTTGGCTCAAGATAACCTCAAGATTTAAAGAATGCATAATAATTGGCAATGGATAAAAAAGTAGAAATAGAGAATGAACAATTGGTAGTTTGTTTTTTATAATTCATGTGGAGCATAGTACTTGACATGGTTTTCTGAAATTGCTTAACACATAGTTCTGTAAATATTTTGCTCAAGTTTGATACCATAATGCTAGTTGCCTGTGATGCTGCCGAGGGCGGAAATTTACGTGGAAGGTCGTGTGTCA